TTGTATGAAACGTTGTATGAAGAAATTTCCATTAAGTTAATATTATTAGTGTAATAGGCACAACACTTATTAATTAAACAAGTACACGTTGAATTAGTAATTCAAATTAAAATAGATTGTTTCTAAAGAGAGATTTTTAAATTTTAATTTCCTTTTTAAAATTAAAAGTTTAGCAGCTTAACAACCCTAATTGAAAAAATATTTGATTCAATTTAATTTCACAAGTCTATAAAATTGTAACTTTAATAAATTTGCACAAATTTCTAATGTTGTCAAATTTAATCAATTATGATTTGGTTGTCAATTTTTTATTTGAATTTTTATTGTCCTGTAGCGATTTCTCGTGTTTTTCTTAAAATCATGCTCAAAAAACTTTTCATGAACAAAAGGCGACCAAATAATTTCCAAAAAATAATCTTATTATTAGAGGCTTAATAAAACTTTTTCCATAATTTATAAGGTATTTAAAATTTTAAATGGGTCCTTATTCATACACATATGTTGCTTACAGTTCTAAAAAAAAATTATATTTTATATTTGAATATTTTAAAATATTTTAAATTGAATTTTAAAATTTTATAATAAACAAAAGAAACTTTTAAAATTGAATTGTTTTCATTCTTTTTACTCGTATTTTTGGAACAAAAAAATGAAAAAAGTTTGCCGAAACTTTTTTGAAATAAAATTTCTTAACATTATACTCAATTAACTTTTATTTTTATTAAATTTAATTTTTTCTTAAAAATAACTTAATTTCTTTGAATTTTAAGAAATTCTTTTAGGTGTTACTTACTAAAAAGAAAATTTAAGTTATTTTAAGAACTAAAAATAAAAGAAAGTTTAGATACTACCAATTAGAAATAAGAATAAAATTTAAAGTTCAGTGAAATTCTTAAAAATTTTTATTTAAACTTTATAAAATGCAGTTTATGGTACTCAATCACTTAAAATAACTTTTTTCTTTAGTATTTGCAATAGTTTGGCGTCTACATTTATAACTACCATCTTGAGATTGCAATTAGAATTTTCATTAAACCGCAGTACGAGTATTTTAGTATTACACTTACTTAAGACATATTTTGGTATTTCGATATTATTAGTAATTTTCGTTAAAATTTTTTAGTGTATTACTATTAACAATTCGAAATATTTTGGTAATTAATGGTAGTAGAAGTAGTAGGAATATAGTAGTAGTTAGTAGTTACTAAAAATTTGAACAGTTTTAGTATGAAAAAATTCTTATTGCTTAATATAATATAATAGTTGTTTTTGTATTTTGTGAAAAAGTCGTACGTCGTCTCCAGTTATAAATTCAACTACAACGAGTTGAATAGTTTTATACTAACTATACAAACATGTAAAATCATTAAAAATTTAATGGATTAAAATTTATGAGCGTTGGACAATACAAGATTAGTAAAATTAAATCGCTTTAAAATTAAAATACGTATTCTAATTTTGTAAAAACTTTGAATGAATAAATGACCTTTTACGTATATACTTTTACGAATATTAAGTGCATTTCTGCATAAAATACGCATTAAAAATATTTTTAGTTAAAATCAAGAGACCGTATTATACAAGAAAATTTTTCAAAATGAAATATTTATGACAATAAAAATATTTTTCTATAGCTATCGTTAAAAGCTTTTTCAATTTCCTTGGTCCTTTTGTTTGGGATTTTTAAGATTAATATCTTTCAAGGTTTTATGCGCTTAAAAAATATATTAAATTCATAAATTTCTATAGAATTTTCGCTTCTATATAGAATTTTTAATGTAACAATGATTTTAATATAAAATTTTTTTTAATAATTATTGTCAATAATACTATTGGTTTTAAAAACATTAAAAATATAGGATATTCGCTTTATAAATTTCTCGAATATACTACTGTTTTCAGAGCATTTTAGTCGTCCTATATTATAAAATTAATAATCTGATGCGACAAGTATGGTATTTGTGTATAATAAATAAGGACCCATGAAGTTAGCTTGTCATATCATGGAAAAACATAAAATGGTGTGAGTGTGCACTTGATGTAAAAGGCCTCTAACACACTCAAAATAGCATCCAAATATGAAATGTCAGGTTCGAATTTTTTTTTTTTTTGAAAACGCATGCTTGTTTTGGAATAGGAAAGTTCTAATCATTTAAATGCAAAATAATTACCATTCGAAAATGAACGTCGAAATTAAAAAAAATTTTTAATATATCTATAAACATTCATTTTATAAAGATTTCTGGACTTTATGTATGTCATGCTGCTATTTATCTAAGGGTTTTAACTAGAAACTCATATTTTTTAATAGTTCTTACTATACCTATTCTTTTTCTAACGAGTTCTAGCCATAAAGAATGTTTAGCTGGTTGTAAGAGCAATTTCTTAAATTAATTTATCTATAACAACATTTTTGTATTAATTCACATTATTCTCGTCACTCTCACCTCTCTCATTCAAATGATGACGTTTATTATTTAGTGATTAATACTGCGACAACGTGACGTTATATTTTTTGTACTTTATGGAATGGCATATCATTAATAAGTGCTTGATCTAAAGCGTAGCAATATTTTCTGATTAAGCAAATTGACCATAGATGTATAGGTAAAGATAAGAGACTGGCGCTCCCCTTTTAAATAAGGCGAACATGGTATTTAATAGATAAACACTGAAATTTTAGTAAGGATATAAAAATGCATTTATTTTTAAATAAAACAGAAATTAATAAATTTTAATTTAAAATATGTTTTTATTTTTTTCAATATGGTATTTTTAAGTTTTTCTTTTTTTTAATATAGTTTTTTTTTTTTTTGGTTTTTTTTTTGTGTTTCTATTTTAATTTTATTTCTTTTTTTTTGAATTTTTTTTTCTTTTTTTTTCAATCTGTTCGAGGCACATTTTTTGTTAAATTTTATAATTTTTTATCAATTTCTCATATATGTATATACTCGTATGTATACATAATATATATATATGTATGTATGTATATATAAGTAAGTTAATTTTAAACTTAAATACTTTGAATTTTTCTTATTTTCCTTTCTTTTTGTAATTTAAATATTCTTCTAAAATTAAATATATATAACTATGTAATATATATATATATATTGTGCATATATATATAGAATATATATATTAAAACTTTTAAATTTACTTAAATTTTAACATCTTCTTTTTTCCATTAATTTTTTTCCTATTCATTTTCGCCATCATTTTGCATTTTTTTTTGTTCATAATTTTTCCGATTAATTTTTTTTTGTAATTTAAATTTATTTTTAATAATTTTATATTTTAAAGAATATAATTATTATAAATTTTTGTTTTTTTTTTCTTTTCTACTTTTAAATGAAACGCAAGTATTTTAGTAATCAACGTTTTTTGTGTTTTTTTTAATTTATTTTTAGTAATTTAATTTTATTTAATTTTTTTTTTATTTTTTAATTATTTTGAATTTTTTTTTATTATTAGTACATAATAGTATATATAAATATATAGTGTACTTACATATTTATGTGAGAATCATAATGTATAAAGCTAATTTAATATATATATATATATATATATATATATATATATATATATATATATATATACATATGTATATACATATGTATATATTATATATCCATATATACATCATATATATTTATTATATATATATATATACATATAGACTACATATATATATGTGTCAAATATATAAGTATATATATATATTTAATAATATATAATATATATATATATATATATATAATATATAATATATATATATATATAATGTATAATATATATATATATATAATATATATTATATATATATATTATATATATATAATATATAATATATATATATATATATATATATATATATATATATATATTATATATATACATATAATATATAAAAATATATATATATATATACTATGCTATAAGTTTCTTGATTTTTTTTAATTGGTTTTGATCTGAATCGGTTTTATCGAATTTTATTGTTGTTTTGAAAATTTTATATTTAAAAAAAAAATTGATACCTAGGGGGTTTTGTTTTTTTTTTTTGTTTTAATTTTATAAAAAAATATATAAAATTAAAGTTTTTAATATTTAATTCTCATCTTGTTTTTGTTTTTTTTTTTTCATATTTCTATTTCGGTATTTATTTAATAAATATATTTAGTATAATAGTTTTCCTAAAAAATCTATATATCTTTTATATTTTTTAACTTTATGTGTACCTATATTTTGATTTTTATATTTCGAATAAATTTTTTTTTACATATTTTTTTTTGTTCGTTAATATGAAGAAAAGAAATACATAATTGTTTTGGCTTGTTTAGGAATTTGACCATAGAAGATTGAATTTGTTGTCTGATATCAAGTTCGTGTATAACAGATTATTTTATTAAAACTATAGGTATTTCATAATTTTTGTAAATTCAAATTGAAATTTTCAAAATATTTGTGGAATTATTAAAATTTTTGAAAACGGTGTTTAACGATTCGTGTGAAGATATATGAAATTTCGTATATTAGCTGCAAAAAGTTGTAAACAAGTTAAAATAGAATATAAAATTTTTTATTGAAAATTTAATAATTACAAAAGAGCCCATGGAAACCTTAAAAGTGTTTGGACTCATAGACCTTGGCTAAATGAATATATAAAATAAATAATAATTACAAAATGAAATTATTAAAACTTTAAAATAATTTTTATTGAATTTATGATACTGAATTTTGAATATTGATTGTGGACATATAATTATAGAGAAACTTTTTTTAAATAGTAGTTATTTTTCTCTATGGTCAAACAATTTTATAATTTTCTTTAAAAATTTTTGGCTCACAGATTACTCACATTTTTTTTTTTTTGCAATTTAATTTAATTTTAAAAATTATTTTATTTTAATTAATAATTGATCTGTTTAATATTTTATTGAATTATTTATTTTAATATTATTTTTGTTTTTTATTTAAATAAATATTTTAAATTATGAGTTCATTTATATATTTTTTTTTTATTATTTATTAATTAATTTCTTTTTAATTAAAATTTTAAAAACTTATTTTTTTTTTCAATTTTTTCTCTTTTTTTTTTTTAATAATTTTTATATATTTTAATGTTTTTGTTTCTATTTTCAATAATTTTATAATAATTACTAATAATAATTAATTAATTATAATAATGATATAAAATTCCTTAAAATATAATTTTGATAGATAATTAATTTTTAGATAGAAAGATATTACTAATGTTCATAAAGTATTTTTTTTGGAATCTGTTGAATAGCCGCCAGCAGAAGATGGACGTGATCTTCGTTTTCTTGTTTGTAATGAATATAGACGACCACTTTTGGTACGTTGATATTTTTCATTTTCTTCACGATTTTTTGGTGCATCGGCACTAAATTATTGTATGTGTATAAAAAAAAAGAAAATTTAAAAAAAAATTATTAATATAAAAATTTTTGAAATAATTTTTTACTTTTTAATTTTATTAATTTGTTTTGTGAACATTTTTTGATTTAGAATAATTTGCGTAGCTCAATTTAATTTTCTGTTTTGAAATTTAATTGAGTTTGTTATTTTTATGTTTCTTATTTCAAAATGAACGAGAATTGAATGTTGATTTGAGAGTTTTATGTGAGACGAGTGTAACATAGTTCAATGAAATTGCCTTATTCAAGTGAATTGTGGAAAAATTTGTAAATATCTAATTTTGACAGCCTTAAGGTCTTATCTGCCTCAATTTTTGCAATGTGAGTTGTTATTAATATTATTTGCAATTTGTTTTTCACTACATACTATTTATTATAGTGGATTTTCATGAAATTTAATTAAATTGAAATAAATTTAATTTATTGTTGCTTTTTAAGTTAGAAATTTGTGCAATTATTGTTTATTGCAATAAAAAACAGTGAAAATATGCTGGGAGACTTTTTTTACTTGTTTCAAATTTTACTTACTCTAAGGTTTTTAATAAGTTGATATTTTTATGTATTTATTTGTAAAGTTTAGAAGTGTTTACATAAAGAAAGAGCTCTTATTTTATGCTTTCATTAATTAATCGTCGTCGTAATAAATTTCTCTTTCTTTTTCTCTGAAATATCGATAATATCAAATTCGCTTGAAAATTTCAATTACTTACGAAATTTTTTTAAAGCATTCTTATTATAATTTTCATGTATAATAAAAAATATATATAAAAAAAAAAAAATTTAATAAAATTACTTTAATTCTAATGTTGCTATCCTTTGTTTCAATTTAGCTTGACTGGCAGCATATTCTGCTATTAATCTTGCCAATCGTGTTGTTAAATTATCAACATGTTGCTCTAATTTTCCTATTTCAACTTCAATACTATCGTGTTGCCGTTGTGAATCTGTAAATAAATTAATTTTTAATATTAATATACAAATATTTAAAATATATTATTAAATATTTGCTAATGTGAATGATAATTAAAATTAAATTTGCGAGATGATTAAAATTTAATGAAAATTAATTAAAATTACGAGAGTTAACAAATTATTACTTAAATAACACATTCAGAATAACGCCAGATGTCTGGAATTGTGATATAGTAAGTAACATTTATATAAATATTTTTAATTACTCTTGAGAGTCAACATTTAGGGAATAGATAAAATTTAAATTTTATTAATAAGTAAAAACTATTTGAGCAAAGAATGAAGTCGACATACTTAATCTGTTTACCAATATTAAAATTGCAAATTTACCATAAAAAATTTTTGGAATTAATTTCTTGTTAGTAGCGCAATGAATATTATGTTCGTTGTTAGTAACGAGAATAAAATATACCGAATTTCTTACCTTCATCATAATAACGTTTTTTCTCTAATTCATTAGATGAGGATTCACTTGAGGAATCATCAAGAAAATAATTAATTTTTTTTCTTGAAATTTTGATTTCTTCTTTTTCTTCATATTCTACAAATATTATTCATTTCTCTTTATTAAATATTCTGAATATTATTGATTTTAAAAAAATATATTTTTGTTATACTAATTTATTATGCATACTTTATGTTACTGAATATTTTGATTGAAATATAAAAATTGCTACATATTGAAGTAGCACTATATTGAAGTTTTAATATTTAAATAACAATAATATACTTACTTGCAAATATTTCTTCATCTAAAAGGCCATCTTTTCTTAATAACTGACAACCGCGTTCAATTAATAATGCTCTAGCTTCCGGGTAATCAGCTAATGTTTCCCATAAATCACGTTTCGCTAAACAAAATAAATCCGAATAACCTAATGATCTAACATTTGCTGTTCTACGATTTCCAGTTCTATTACCAGCTATTTCTAATACAGATACTTCACCAAATACTGAACCGGCACCAAGTGTTGCAAATACTGTTGTACCATCATCAGCTACCACAGATAATTTACCGCGTTTAACAATATACATTTCTTTACCTACATCACCTTTACGGCATATATAATCACCGGGACTGAATACTTGTAATTTTAATTTTAATACAAGAGCCTCTAGTAGACCAGGTTCACAATCTTGAAATATTCGTACTTGTTTCAATGTATCCATATGAACACGTATTGCTATTTCGGCTTTTAATTTATCTGGTAAAGCTGATAATACCCTTTCTTCATCTAATGCACCACTTTGTGACCATGTATATGCAAACCATCTGATAACTCTTGCCTCTAATTCAGATCCAACACGACGAAATGCCATATATTGCTTAACACCATCCATACGATTTTGAAATTCAACTCTGGCAACATTCATATTTGAGATCATAGAACCAATATTACCTATAAGTATTTAAATAAATATAAGAGAATATAAATAAAAAGATTTGAAAAAGGAATATTTAGGCCCAATATGTATATGAGAGGAACTGAATACATTTTCTTGCTTTTGGGTTAAGGAAAAGATTAATATAAGTTGAATTAGGGTACAATTATGCAAAAGTATAGCATACTTCAGACAGGATGTCAATGGTTTTGGAAATGAAGAATATATGTACCATATATAAAGATATGTATATATATATATATATATATATGTATATATGTTTATATATATATGTATATATATATATAAGTACCATATATGTAAGAATATATATAAAGGATATTTTTTATTTGTTTGGTCATTTAAATCTTTATATCAATAAAGAATATATTAATTTTCTAAAAGCAGGATGAAGTTTTCAAAATAAGATTAAAAAAAATAATTAAAATTTCTTTCCCAAAGAGCAGATGTGAAGAAAACATTTTTGAATAAAAAACTTAATAAACTAAATTATTTTATACATATATAATACTCGTAATGTACTTACATATGTATATATTATATAATATGGATATATACATATTTACTTACCGACAATTGTTGCAAATATAAGTACACCAGCTAGAAAATCAGCAACAACAAATAAATATTCAGCATCATTTTCTGGTGTTGGTGTTTCACCAATTGTTGTTAATGTTAATGTTGACCAATAAAAGCTATATATATATTGCCGTTGTAATGTTGCATTTCTGTCACCATTCAAATTATATACCCAATTATCAATACCAAAACCTAATGCATAACTTATTGCAAAATATAAACATGCATTCCAATGTATTAAAACTAATATAGCCAAAACAACTTTACATATACGAAATGCATTTGGATAACCGGTTGCAGTTTCTGTACGATCAAACCATTCCCACATTCTAGGAAGACGAAACAAACGATTTAAACGAACTATAACAGGGCATGGTAATGATCTTGAACTACATGAACTTGGATCCCACCAAAAATATGTTAAATCAGTTGGAAACATTGATATTAAATCAATAATCCATGTACGAATTTGAGTAAAATAATTTTTTCGTAATTTGTAGGCATCACGAACTAGAAGGCCTTGGTCAAGGTAACCTATAATGAAAAAAGAAACAATGTTGTTTTATTTAAATTGAAACTAATGGTACAAAATTAATTTTAAATTTCAAAGATTCAATCGTTAAGGCAGGAAATAAATACATTTTTAAAATGTTTTCATTGTACAAAGATATTACCCAATATTGTTCGCAAACAATTGAAATTATTTGGATATAATGTGTGCAGAGCAATATTGAATTAAACAAGCAGCATCTTTGGTAGAGAGAAATCCAAATTGCAGAATGAAAATTCATTGAAATGTTGTTGTATATACATACATATATGTACGTTATACATAACGAATTTGCTATTTTTAGGATGAAGTAATCATAAAGTGTTCGAACACCATCACCGCTTTTCTTTGTATTTTAAATTATTCAGAAAATTTTACTTTCATATATCAATGTAATATAATGCAATTATGTTATAATATTATGTGTGTATAACTTGTAACACTTGCATATGTTTACAAGCATTTCACATAGTACGTAATTTATTGAAAGTTTGCTTTTACAGTATCCAACATATATTTATGTGTCCATTTGATATTTTGAATGAATTTATAGTCAAATTGAATGAAGTATTGTTCGAAAATTTTAATTGATGGTTAATTTGTTTGTAGGTTGTAAATTAAATTATTTTAATTTTTAGTAATTCACAGAATTTCTATAGAGAATTTTCATTGTTTTGATTTATACTTGATGTGATTTATTACAGTAATTACAATTGTGCTACTATTATGTAAATACACAATGCATTGTCAATGTGAATTAAAAATAATTTTTAATTATTAAAGTTCATTTATGCTCATTATAATTAATACTAAATTTTAATAATCTTCATTTAATTATAAAATTTAAAACGAATTCTAAGAAACAGTGGTAATATAACATTTTACATTAATTTGTTATATTTTCTTTGCTCAAGTCTTAACCGATTCTTTTAATACTAATAGCTTCTTCTTAATGGACCCATCGGCTCGGGTTACATTCAAGCTGGTTGGGAGCTATCTTGCTAAACTCGTGGAATTGGGATCAGCAAAAAGACTCACATTCACTTGGGTGCCTGGCCACAGTGGACATGAGGGCAACGGGGTTGCCAATTTGCTGGCGCGGAAAGAATCTGGGGCTGACTTTGTGCGGCCGCTGCCTTTCTGTGAGCTGCTTTCTTTTTCTTCTAGGCTTGCCTACCTGTTTGGGGTGGAATGCAACTTCACTGGCGGAACACGTAAAGATTCAAAGATGTTGCTTCAATCGCGCTCCGCAAGTTAACTGCAGAGTTATTGGGGATGGATAGAAACCGGTTTGCGGTTCGTGCTATTGCGAATTTCTTTACTGGACACTGCCCAGTAAGATATCACCGGCATAAGCAGGGAAGATCGAACTGCCTCTTGTGCAGATTTTGTGGGGGCGGTGACGAGATCGCCGTGCTCTTTTTTTGCGACTGTCCGTAAACGGCTGTTCGGCGTTGCAATTGTTTTGGGCAGGGTTTTCTGAGCGTTCGAAAACTGTTTCTAATACCCTTAGCGATATCTCCAGTTTTATACTTGGAACATGGATATTATAGACGGAAGGCTACAATAAGTAGCGAGCGGCTGCGGTGACCCGAAGGCCGAAGGATATGTTCCCTTGCTTCCACATTATATTCGTACATGTGAATATTAGAAATTTATTGTTAAGTACAAATCTGTTATTATAAGGATAAGCTTACCATAAGATGAAAAATATAAAGTCATGGTACTCTCTTCAGATCCGATAAGTATGTAATAATTTATTAACATTACATTGGAAAAATACGTTACAGTTTCATTCTTAAATTCAAATTTATAAATTTTCATGGTATAAGGTATTGGAGTTATTTATTAGAATGTCACTACCATTATCATTGCCACGGTTACAACATTCAATATCAGAATAAAAAAATAAGAAAAAACTAATAACAGAAAAAAGAAAAACAAATGAGAGAAAGAAAAATATTGTTGTGTCATGGAAATGAATTGCTTTCCCTTATTTTGCATTCATATAAAAATATTTCACATAGACTGTTTTAAAACCAAAAACCATATACAGTATATTTATGAACCATATAAACTCACTTAATATTCCTTTGTTTATGTGAGTATATTAATTTATATATCTAGATACGTACGTACATATGGGTAGTTTTGAAAATAAAAATACGAGTGTCAATTGTATACAACAGTTCAAGGCTGCAAAGATTTTTACCCATGTAAGTTCATTTTCAAATATATTCTGTGAACCTATACATACATATGTATAATATAAGAAATATGTACAATATAAGAATACCTGATTGACAATGGACTAATTGTTTCAATTTATTTCCTTAAAATGAGCATTCATTTTTTTTTTAAGCAAGGGTAGTTTGAAGCTAATGCCCAAATAGAATCGCAATTTTAAATTAAAATTTATAAAAGCAGCCCATATTTCGGTATAAGCGTATTTCAATTTTGAGTTTGAATATTATACGTATAATGATGCGTCTTTCAATATGTCATTTTACATAATTTCATTTACATAATTACCGAACCCTTATATATCAAATTATGGTTAAATTTCATCCGGATATTTCTTAAGTAATGGTATAACATCAATATTCCGAGCGCGGAAAAGTGGCTTCACGAACGTGTATATATAGGAACATACAATTTTGAACCGTTTACTGGGTAGAATCGTTCAAGACACAATAAGGCTATAGTAAGTTAACATTTTGCTTGCGTTGGGTCTTATTGAGTGAAACTTAAACAAAAAAAGCTTTTTAGTGCTGCTGGAGCAGCTTATTTACTTTAGTGGGAAAATCTCAATTTCATGAAGTTTTCATTATTTTTCAAGAAAAATCCAATTATTACAATGTTGAATTAATTTGTGTGCGTACACCCATATAATTTTTGTATTATAATATTCAAGTATTATTTTCGGGGCAAATTTAAAATAGCAAGGTATATGATATTAGAACTTATTATATAATTCAGTGTTGAGTTTCCTTTTCTTCCCAAAATCCAATTCTGACAAAAATGGTGAGACCTTGAAAACTTTTATACTTTTTTTTCCAAAATAAGAACAAATTCATTTACTGTTGAAATGATACATAATTCAAAATTATTATTGTTCTCAACTTATTTATTTTCGTATGTGTGCAGTAAGTGTACTATATACATACATTTATGTATGTATATTTGTTATAGAATTAAAAAAACAATAACTTTTTTACATTATGAATAGAATAAAAACCAAAAATATAAATAGCTATGCCTGTTATGCGTGTGCTTTTATATTAGGTTATTAAAATAAAAATCATTTAAATGTAAAATGGTTAGTACACGTATAACGTATATGTCGTTACGTACGTATTATATTTATTGCATCTAAGTATGTATATCAGGAACGCACAGTGTTATAAATTATGTTATACATATTTGGATATTTTATAATAAATGATGTTAATATACGAAGATACCCACTCATTATAATTTATTCTATTTGATTTGTACGGTATTTTTTTAAATGTCGCAATATACTCTAAATCTATAAATATTCTGCAGAAGGCTATAATTTCAGAGTTTATTATATTTTTTCATCAGATCTATTTGGATATTTGTTTTCTATGTGGACCACATTTTCATTCGGAAGGAGAAAATTTTCATAAAGTTAAGTGAATTCTCATAAACCCGGATGTTAGAGAAATTTTTTATTTATAAACTCTGACAAAATATCCAAAGGGTTACATTGTAAGAATTAGGACAAACCATTTGATACTAAATGTTCGCAGTCATAGACATTTTGCAAAAACTTGAAGCCCATACATAGATTTATCTAATTCATATCCTAAAGTTGTGTATAACATTTAGTTTTAATTTATAATCCTTTAGAACAAAGTACTCTCTATTGTTTTAAATATAATTGTGCTTTTTGTATTCACATTGTTAATAAATGTTACAGAAACCACGTTATGTTATTTTTCACACACACGCGTATTTAACTCGTATCTATATACTCGTATAAATGTAAGACTTGCTACCTACACATCACCACAATATTGTAAATTATATATTTTAGAAATTTTTCTAATTTTAGAAAACCTTAGATATTTTTATAACAAATACAGAATTTTAATATTTTAAATTAATTTATGAATATTATGTTGCTGTTAACAATATATTCGTTAAAAGGTTTTTTCTTTAAATTTGTCCCAGTATGTAATCGTAACGATTATAATCAATATATGTCATGTGTGTATTTTTAAAATTAAAAAAGCAAATAATTTGAATATCAAATATTGTATTTAATATTAATTTAATTTAAACGTGACATCCAAAAAGGATAATTTTATAATCAAAGGCATGTATAGTGAGAACAGCTAAAATAATTTGAATCCTGCTGAGATAAATATGGTGTTGCAAGTTAAATGGTTAAAAATTTTTTTTCAGAACTAAGCAATTTTGAGAAAAGCACTTGAAATTTATTACGAAGAGATCGAGGCTTAAAATTTCGTTGATGTATTTTATTTCCGTGATATAATTGTATACGGTAAAACCTAATGTAAAATTTTATACTGGGAATGTAAACTTGAGCTTTTGTTGAATTTTTTTTTATTTATTTGCTCTTTTACTGACATTGCGTTAAAATTTTGATTAGGTAATTTGATGATATCAAGGATATGAATTTAATACATTCACATTTACGTTATTATATTATGTAGAATATTGCTTCGTATAAATATTACTAAATTATACCAGTATATTGTGTATGTGTACGTAATGGTATTTTACATCAATTTCCTGTTTTTATTTTTTTTTTGAGAAAATATTTTATTGTCAGAGATTTTCAAATAAAAAATCACAGAAATTTTTAAAGAGAATATGGGGTGTAAAAAAGAATTTTTTTTATTTTATTCTTTTTAATGTACATTATTTGACAATAAGGATTTCGACTAGAAAAAATTTGGTAATAAAATTTTTAGGCGTATATGAATTGCAA